TATGTAGACATAGGTCAAAATTTCCCACCCCATAACTCGGTCAAATCTCATCCGATTTTCATAAGGCTTGGCTTTTAGTTCATGGTTTGGCCTCTAGATTAATTCTGCATTTAAATCTGACAACATAATTTTTGGTCGAAATTCATGTCAAAATGGTATCCCTAAAAATCCTATGTAGACATAGGTCAAAATTTCCCACCCCATAACTCGGTCAAATCTCATCCGATTTTCATAAGGCTTGGCTTATAGTTTATGGTTTGGCCTCTAGATTAATACTGCATTTAAATCTGACAACATAATTTTTGGTCGAAATTCATGTCAACATGGTATCCTAAAAAATCCTATGTAGACAAAGGTCAAAATTTCCCACCCCATAACTCGGTCAAATCTCATCCGATTTTCATAAGGCTTGGCTTTTAGTTCATGGTCTGGCCTCTAGATTAATGCTGCATTTAAATCTGACAACATAATTTTTGGTCGAAATTCATGTCAAAATGGTATCCCCAAAAATCCTATGTAGACAAAGGTCAAAATTTCCCACCCCATAACTCGGTCAAATCTCATCCGATTTTCATAAGGCTTGGCTTATAGTTTATGGTTTGGCCTCTAGATTAATACTGCATTTAAATCTGACAACATAATTTTTGTCGAAATTCATGTCAACATGGTATCCTAAAAAGTCCTATGTAGACATAGGTCAAAATTTCCCACCCCATAACTCGGTCAAATCTCATCCGATTTTCATAAGGCTTGGCTTTTAGTTCATGGTTTGGCCTCTAGATTAATGCTGCATTTAAATCTGGCAACATAATTTTTGGTCGAAATTCATGTCAAAATGGTATCCCCAAAAATCCTATGTAGACAAAGGTCAAAATTTCCCACCCCATAACTCGGTCAAATCTCATCCGATTTTCATAAGGCTTGGCTTTTAGTTCGTGGTTTGGCCTCTAGATTAATTCTGCATTTAAATCTGACAACATAATTTTTGGTCGAAATTCATGTCAAAATGGTATCCCTAAAAATCCTATGTAGACATAGGTCAAAATTTCCCACCCCATAACTCGGTCAAATCTCATCCGATTTTCATAAGGCTTGGCTTATAGTTTATGGTTTGGCCTCTAGATTAATACTGCATTTAAATCTGACAACATAATTTTTGGTCGAAATTCATGTCAACATGGTATCCTAAAAAATCCTATGTAGACAAAGGTCAAAATTTCCCACCCCATAACTCGGTCAAATCTCATCCGATTTTCATAAGGCTTGGCTTTTAGTTCATGGTTTGGCCTCTAGATTAATTCTGCATTTAAATCTGACAACATAATTTTTGGTCGAAATTCATGTCAAAATGGTATCCCTAAAAATCCTATGTAGACATAGGTCAAAATTTCCCACCCCATAACTCGGTCAAATCTCATCCGATTTTCATAAGGCTTGGCTTTTAGTTCATGGTTTGGCCTCTAGATTAATGCTGCATTTAAATCTGACAACATAATTTTTGGTCGAAATTCATGTCAAAATGGTATCCTCAAAAATCCTATGTAGACAAAGGTCAAAATTTCCCACCCCATAACTCGGTCAAATCTCATCCGATTTTCATAAGGCTTGGCTTTTAGTTCATGGTTTGGCCTCTAGATTAATGCTGCATTTAAATCTGACAACATAATTTTTGGTCGAAATTCATGTCAAAATGGTATCCCCAAAAATCCTATGTAGACAAAGGTCAAAATTTCCCACCCCATAACTCGGTCAAATCTCATCCGATTTTCATAAGGCTTGGCTTTTAGTTCATGGTTTGGCCTCTAGATTAATTCTGCATTTAAATCTGACAACATAATTTTTGGTCGAAATTCATGTCAAAATGGTATCCCTAAAAATCCTATGTAGACATAGGTCAAAATTTCCCACCCCATAACTCGGTCAAATCTCATCCGATTTTCATAAGGCTTGGCTTTTAGTTCATGGTTTCGCCTCTAGATTAATGCTGCATTTAAATCTGACAACATAATTTTTGGTCGAAATTCATGTCAAAATGGTATCCCCAAAAATCCTATGTAGACAATGGTCAAAATTTCCCACCCCATAACTCGGTCAAATCTCATCCGATTTTCATAAGGCTTGGCTTTTAGTTCATGGTTTGGCCTCTAGATTAATGCTGCATTTAAATCTGACAACATAATTTTTGGTCGAAATTCATGTCAAAATGGTATCCTCAAAAATCCTATGTGAAAACTCAACCGATTTTCATAATATTTGGCTTTTTGTTCATAGTAAGGCCTCTAGATATATACAGTTCATTTTATATATCTTAACTTAACTGTCCATGCCGCAAGTTTTGAGCAAAATAAACATCGGAATTGTTTGGTCATTGTTTAATCTAGTGAATGTTATTTATTGTCTTAAGGTCACTTTTGAGCCACTTTCAGTTATCTGGTATATATCATAGCATTATCAGATACCCGCTAATTACCACCAGAATCCCTGGCTAGTTGACCAATTTGTAAAAATCTTCTTGTGGCTGCCATTGTCAACGTGTTGTGACTTAACCCAATTCAGCAGGAGGGCAACAACAGCAGCAAAAAGAACAACAGCAAAAACAGCAACAACAACAACAGCGGCAACAATGAATTACGAGTATTTTTCCTTATTTTCTTGTTAGTGTTGCAATTTGGCGTCTGAATGCGCGAATTTCATTTCCAACTAATAAAAAAAACTGTTGCCCGTTGCGGCTTAAACTCTAATTAACGCCTCATCTGCGGTGGCGAAGGTGAAGACTTGCCCCATGTGCCAGACCCTCCAACTCCGCCTCCTCCTCCTCTTCCTCCACCACCTCCTTCTATCTGCCTGGGTAGAGAGATTGTCTGTAACCCAACGTTATGCTATGAACTGTCTTGACGTTGTGCCCATTCTGTCTGCTTGAGAACGTAGCGCAGTAGGTGGAGCACGCCGGGAGCCGGGGCCGGGGAGTGTGAAGAGCCACTTTTGGAATCTTTTACGGTATTTCCACAGCTCACGTCGCCCAATTAGACGCACTTTAAGGGGTCATTAAATGTATGTATGTTATGTGATTTTATTATTATTAATAATTTCGCGTTTTATGCATTTTAAAGAACAGCTGTAATTGCAGCGGCTAAGTCGTGCCTCGATGGTTTAGCGGCTTAGTGGACATCGAGGCTCATATCTAAAATCTCAAATGTCAGCTAACAGTGCTGCTGGGCGTGTTGTTGTTTTTGTTGTTGTTGTTGTTGCAGTTGTTTCGAGTCGAGTTTTAAACGCGCTCAGCTTCCGGTTGGAGTCGTAAAAAACAAAACACAAAAAAAAACTGCTCCTCTTTCGTCTATGGCTATGTTAGCACTTGTTGTTGTTTGGCTTTAACGATTTACTTTTTTTTTTCAGTTACTTTTTTTTTGTGTTTTTGCCACGCTGTTTTTACACCTCGTTCTTTACACTCGAAACTTTTTTATATGCTTGTTTCTTGATAATTTTTCTCTGCCTCTCTCTCTCTCTCCCTTACACTTTTTTTATGTTTTCATTTCTTGGCCTCGTCGCGCGTTAATTGAATTTGCGGCATCGCTCGCCCGCTCCGCCCCAATCGTCAATCCCGTAGTCTCAACTCTTGGATACACCCAGTCGCGTCCAGTCTATTTGCTGCGCTATTTATTTAATTATATTGCCGCTCACTGACTCCGACACTGGTTACTTCTTCCATTGCCTTTCTAGCCAGCTATTTGCCTTCTCTTCATTTGGTTTTCAATAATAATTTGCATTTTTCAGTTTAGCTTAAACTTCATAGTTCCATAAGTTTAATTGCTTTTCTTTTTATTTGTTTTCTACCAGGAAGTAGTCGACTTTTTGCTTGAATAACCAGCGCATAATAAAACCAGGCATGCTTAGAGTGTGGCTACATTTCTCAATTTCGCTTAATACATTCTATTTTCACTAAGACCTTGTGCTCTTCTATGCAATTCTTAAATCAAAGAAATAGCTGTGGGTTTGTGCACTCGCTGCATAGCAAAGTTTCATACCAAGCCTCTGCATTATATCGCCCAGGCTGAAAATATGTGTTGCATACATTTAGGCCGCACATTAAATGGGTCCAGAATTGTTCACAAAGGTGCCATAATGTATCTTATTTGTGTTTTAATCGCAATCTATATTCAGATAAATGCTAAATCGATTTGCAAAAGACTTGTTTTAAGTGTAGTTAAAATATTTCCTTCCGTATACATAATTTATTTTATTTTTGCTCGTTTTGGTCTTTATAAAAATAATAATAAAAAACACACGCCGAGATATAGTGCCTAATACTTAAATATCGCAAATACTTGGATAGTACATTTGTAGGGGGAATTGATTACAATGTGATTAAAGGATTAAAGAGAATTTTACAATTGAAAGAATTTTACAATTACAATGTTACGACTAATATCTAAAGTTTTTATATATATTTTCATAAAAATATTAAAGCAAACATATTTTCAAGTTTGTTTATTTTTAGTTTTTCTTTCTTTTTTTCAAGTGTAATTTTTTAGTGCAAATTTGTTAGTTGCGACAGTTTCAAACTGTTTTCCGTATATATAACTTGTTCAGAATTTTTCACTGCATACTAATTTGGCACTTGTGGGATTTATTCGAAGTTGGAATTAAATGTAATGCTTTGAAATTGCTGTACTTTAGGTTTTATATTAAAAAATAAGCAAATTGCGTATAATATATACAATTAATACGAGAGGGGGACATAGAGTGGGGTGGGGGCTATATAATTATATAGTGTGCTATGTTACAGATTCAAGAACGCTTTTTATAAATATTTATTACAAATGATTTGTATAACAAAACTGCGTCTTAGAACTAATTAAATATTCGTATTTATTATTATTATTTTAATATATATATATATTATTTTTTTATTATTTATGACCAAATTTTGGTAGCAACTAAAAAAAACAAAAAACCTTTTTGTACACGCACAGTCACACACACACGCGCACACACATTCACACACATGCACATAAATTAGTTGTAGTTTGTAGTTATAGTTTTCAGTTTTAATTGTTAACTTGGCGAGACTCAATTGGCTCAGTCGAGTGCTAGATAAACCTATAAACCCATATATATATATATCCATATCAATCGTTGGCCATGCAATAGCCGGAATATGTTTGTATATTGTCCTCCAGAAAACTCTCGCCGGCTATAACGCCCGACTGTGTGTGATGGCTGGGACAGCGATGACCCTTGGGGCACTGGCATAGCGAATTGATGTTGACCTCGTCGAGAAACTCCTGACGTTTACGCACCGTAAACAGCTTGCACGGCTGCTTGCGCTGGCAGCGTAGGCGCTGTTTAGAGTTAGAAGAACAGGTAGGCAGAGCTTAGCTGGAGGGATTCGACTGGATTTTGGTGGGCTAACTTACCGTCAGCGGGGAGCAGGCGAAGAGATAGCGATAGGCTGTGCTGCTGTTGGGCACTGGCTCACGTTTGGCTAGATAGGTGACCGAGTTCTTGGGACAGCGACAGTGCACGATCTGCTCGGTGACATTCAGCTCCGCGGCGGTGGTCAGTGTCCAGGTGTAGTCACGGAAATGCCTGCAAAGCGGATGCAACAGGGTCAGCAAAGGGTGCAAAGGTTAGCTACAGCTTCAAGTTTAACTCACTTGCAAACGGGCAGCTTGTGCACCGGCTGGCACAGCTTGTAGTGCCTGGTCTTGTCGGCTATGGTGTGGCCATCCTCTACGCCCAGGTTGCTCGGGCAGCCGCCTATAAAGCTGGCTGCTTCCTTCAGACCGCGATGACCGGAGTGGCGCATGTGCGTCGCGCCGCGTGCTGGCGCCTGGGGCAGCTCGTTGTCCGCCAGCTCCTCGTAGGCCGGCGGCAGCGCCTCGTTGTAGTCCGGCGAACGTTCCACATAGTCGCCAGCAGATGGCAGTTGTAGTTCATCTTCGTAGACAGCGCCCAGTTTCTGCATGAGCTTCTTCAGATGCAGACTCTCGTACTTCTTGTCCAGCAGCAGGCGCTTGTGCTGCAACAGTTTCTCCTTCTCGTAGTAGCTGCGATACTTCTGGCGCTCAGCCAACGTGCCATGCGGGTGCTCATGATGATGCACTATGACATTGTTGGGCATGCGATTCGATTCGGGACAGCGACACTGGCGCTCTATCCAGGGTGTCTCGTACAGGTCGATCTTGGAGCAGACCGCATTCGGTGCACACACGGGCAAATCAGCCTCGGAGTCCTGTAGGAAAAAAGAGCAGGAGAAACTTAGTTACTGGCAGTTTTCAAGTTGATTTCAGTTTTCCTTTGACGCACTCTAAATACGCCTCTTTTGTATGCCACATTTGCATAGCCAAGTGGCAGCACGTCGTCGAATCTGAACAAGTCATTGAAATAATTTCATTCATGGCCAGCCCAGCCAAGAACTGCCCAGCAGAAGAGCCCGACAAGAGCGGGCATTGGGTTTGCTCTAAGTTTGAAGTGCCCATTTGTAGGCCATTCAAAGCAATAACAGACCGTGGGGGTTGGTGGGTGCAGGGGGAACCAAGTGAAAGGCAGACCCTAGACAGAAGCTACTCGGACTGTAGCAGAAGGCAGCTACCGATTGTGGGCTACTCTGTTGGCTCTTATGGATTAAGAGCATAATTATAAAAACATATGTAAACGAATCTTATCTTTCAAGTAGATAATAAGCAATCATTATACTCGTTGATTAGAACCAGCAAAAAGAGATCAATCAATCCAAATGCCTATCAGCTCTGAAATCTATGCTCGGCCGACCCACAGTTTGTCTAACCCAAGCAAAACTATTTGCTACTAATCCTATATACTCGATATGCCATTTGGAAATGGAGTATTAAAAAAAGTTCCTTTGAGGACAACAGCTTCTAAGTATAACTTGATTAACATATGTGCCCATCCTAACTATGCCATATCAACCCTCTATCCTCCAGCAATGTGGGTGTGTTTGTTTGTTTGTTTGGGCTTCTTTGAGTCCATTCTGTTCATTCTGTAAACATCCAAAGCAGATACTTTTCATTAATTGAATTCCAAACGCTACGCATGTTGTTCTCTGTTGAAGCGAATGTGCTTCGTGTGTGTGTGTGGGTGTCCTTACACCTTGTTTACTTAATCCTATTTTATTCCTAGCTCTCTCTTGGTTCACATAAAAGCTTATGTTAGTATCTTGTTGATCCTCTGCTCGCTATAAACATAAAACTCAACTCGCAACTGCGGACTTTTAGTTTTGTTTTGTTTTGTTTCACAGTCGATTCGCTTGCTTTTTATGATGTGCTCCTCTGCTCTTGTCATTTATCCCTCTCATTTGATTTTATTGTATGGCACTCTGGCGACAACAACACGCACGCATATGAGCAACAACAACAACAACAACAACAAACACAACAACAACAACAACAGGTTTCCAATGAAATTATCGAAAGCAATCAATTTTTTAAGTGGAACTTCTTTCAACTGGTACCTTTTTGACAACTCTCTTGATGTTGTTGTCGCTGGATTGGGTCCTTTTCTGTTTTGGTACTTTTTATACCCTGTAACCGAATGGGTAAAGGCAGTCTGACGAACTGGGTCTGAATTGATGTCAAGTATAAGAAATTTAAACGTAACTTCTATAATACGACATTTTGCTTCTTCGATAGCTTCTACCATTTTATCGAAATCGATAAATTTGTGTTTCTTCGGAATATCTCGAGGATTATAAGGGCTACAAGCACTAAATTTGTTATGTAGGTTCTCGTGGAGTATACACACATGAAAAACATTTCACTTTTTATATAACTTCCGAAATTTTAAAATATTTTTATTAACATCGTTTGAAGAATTGATTTTTGCTATACAAATTTCTTAATGATTTTTATGTCGATAAATACCTATTAATTTTGCGTAGCTGTCTATAGGGTATCTTCTAGTTGGGCACCCACCGCTAGAGCATTTTAATTTTGCTTTTTATATTGTTTGGTCTTTTGTTTGGTTTCGATTTCAATTTGATTTTGTGTTTTTTCCCCCATTTCTTTCTGATTTGTATTCAAATTATTTTTATAATGAAATCAATAGGCCGTTTCCAGGCGTTCTCGTTGTGAAGTGAGTTGCACCTGCCTCTGGGCACAGCTACCTGCGCGTCCTGATCCCATTCCCTTACTCTGTCTCCTCTCCTCTCCTCTCTTTCTGCTGCTGCTTCGTTTACTTAGCGCGTCCGTGTCGTACCGGAAGTCCGGAAGTGATTTAGTGCAGGCGACCGCCTGGCGGAAGTAAATAAATATGTAAGTGCAGCACACACACACACGCACATGTGTGTGTTCATTCAAAAGGGATTAGCACTGCGCTGGGTCGAACCGGAAGTAAAGCAAAGCCAAAGCCAAACAGGTTGCCTTGCCTGACCTTTTACCTTTAGCTTCCTCGCTCTCTCACTCTCTTTCCTCTCTCTCCCTCTCTGTCTTTTGCGGAAGTTATACGCCGTCTGCCCTAATGTCCTCTACTACCTTCTGATTTGCTTTATTAGTTTTATTTACTTCCGCTCACAATTTACTTCCGCATTTTGCTGGAATTGAAGCGAAAAATCGCGCATTTCTCACGCGTTTTTGACCTACTTTTTTTTTTATTTTTGGCGGCACCTGCCCCCTTCTGCCAGCTGCAGCTAGTTCCTGCTCTTGTTTAGCCTTAACCCTTTGTTGACAAAATTTTTCAAGCATATGCCAAGCTTTGTTCATGCATTATGTGGATGCCCCATTGGAATTCCCGGGGGCTGGGCACTTGAGGGAAGCCTTTGTCGTGCTGGCAGGATATGCTTATGTAAGGAGCTGTCTGTCTACGCTGCCGGGCTGTAAGCAGCGTGGGAAATTCTTTGAAATTCGAGCATGTTTATTGACAACCCCCTCCCCTCTCCCTCCTTCCCAATCATGCCTTGCTGCTACCTCAACTGGGGGTAGCTGGAATCATGCTGCGCCTGGAAGTGGCACTTCTGAGAAGCCGTTAAACATACACCTGCTGAGTTTACCATATTGATAAGCAAATATGTGTGTGAGTGTGTGTGTCTTAGAATGGGGCAAACATGGCAGTAGCGTGCGCCCCCCTTTGCTACTCGCTGCTGGCCGAAATCTTGGCAAGAGATAAACAACAAGGCGAGCCAAAGTCGAAGAAGTCACAGTCAAAGTTTATGCCCAGACAGTAAAAGTTGCTGCTGCAAAAGAAAACAAAACTCAGACACATACACAGACCGGATATCCGGTTTAACGCGAGCAAAAAGGGTGGGGCACAGCAGTAGCACACGTGGAGTCGCCGCCGCCCGCTGCTGCTGCTGCTGCTGCTGCTGCGACACTTTATAATTTGCTCGGAGCAGCACGCGCGCGCGTTCCACAAACAATTAGCCTCATGTGTGTCAAAGTGCAAGAGGAGACTAAAAGCCAAACGGGCCGGGGGCCAAAGGGCGCAGCGGAAGTCGAGACAAATGAATGGCGACCATGCAACGTGATGCGGCAAGCACCGAACAACTTTTTGACTGCCAACTGCCAACGGCTGCAAGAGCTTCGGCTTTTGAAGCTGCTTTAAGAGCTGTCAAAGGGTTTTACGCACGCTCGTTTAATTGAATCGAATTAACCCCCACAACCCCACCAAAACGCAGAAGATGATGATGATGAAGAAGAAGAAGTCGCAGCGCAACTGCCGCTTGTCATGCCTCATGTGGCTGGGGGCATGCTTGGAATTCTGCGCCTCAAGAGTTGAGCACCGGAAGCGCTGCTGCCACAAAGATGACAATGACTTATACAATATTTTGTATACCCTGTGGAAAGTGAGCGAATGAGAAGGTGTGGCATGAAATGGGGAAAGCGTTTGTAATAGATGGAAGAAGCCAGCTACAGGCTTGTAAAGGGTAATATATATATATATTATGATAGGATATTATATTCCATATGAACTCAGAAATTCTAAGAGCTCTAAGATCCCAAAAATATAAAAAAAATATAAAAATCAGAAACCATTCGACCTAGAGTCCAAAACTAGCCAGTTTTAGAACCAGAATATTTCTGGTTCCTGAAAACTCCGCCTTTTGCTCCTTAAGTTATTTTCTTCCTTGATGATATTTCTGTTTGTCTGCTTAATAAGAAATTGATAATATGAGCAAAAGTGCAGCGGAAAGACAGTCAAGTCTGTGTAAAGGGTATACGTCAGTCGAACATTGTTTTCTGTGACATTCCTGCTTGTTCTATGGCTGGCAATCGGGTGTGCGAGGGGCAAGCGTAATTTAGTCAGTTGCATAGCTGGCATGCCAATGCATCGTGCTTGGGCTTTTGTCTTTGTGCTGGCTCCAGCTCCAGCCCCTGCCCCCTCCTCCCCGCTGCTCTGGCTGCCACTCATTAGCCAGCCGGCTTGGGGGAAGCCTTTGATTGTCGCTTAGCGGCGACAGCGTAATTTGAGCCTGTGGAGCTAACTGACTGACGGACTGACTAGCTGGCTGGCTGCTGCGCTGTTAGGCAGTGTGTACTGTAGACAGTGGGTACTGGCTGCTGCACCTGCCGCTATCAATAACCCAAACGGCTTGACATGACGCGCGCAAAATGCCAACAAAAGGACTTGCCACAAAGGATCGACCTGCTTTGTATGTGTATGCGTGAGTGTGTGTGTGTGTGTGTGTGTGTGTGTGTGTGTGTTGCCAATCAGTGACATAAATTTCTCGAATGCCGGAAGAGCTGCCTAAAGAAATGCTGGGCATGTCAGCGCGGCTGGCAGGGATCGGTGTTTGGTTCCCATGAGGGCGTTGACGCACAAAGACGCACACGAACGGATGACGTGGGACGGACGGACGCCGGCTGCTGCACATGCGCCGTCGAGACGCTGCCGTTGCTGCTGCTGCTGCTTCAACTGATCTTCGTAGCCGTTAGACACTTGTGGCAGGCGGCTGCCGCTGTGGCAGGTAGTTTTGCCCGTGCAACAATCAGCTCTAGCCGGGCCGTTGTCTGTGCGGCTCTCTACTGTTATCTTTTGTCTGTACGTTAATGATTTTTCTATGCATTTCCTTTTACTTGTATTATTACTAGTTTTTGTGTTTTTTTGTTGTTGCTTCCACATTTTCCCCATGCGCAAGAATTATGCAATCTGGCGTCGCACATGTGGCCAGATCTAACACAGATGCGCAACATTGTCTGGGTCTGGGGCTGGGTCTGGGCTCGGGCGCGGAAGTGCCGTTTGGTCACCTCACGCTGTTTACACGAAAATTCAATTAAAATT